ATTATTTAACCTCTCCTCATTTTGTCTGATTCAGTAAATATGGCTGGTATGATTCCTGGCAACCTGACTGGAATTTTCTCTGACAGTTGTCTCCCACCCCTGCTGGGATTACAATAGAAGAAAGTTTGAGAATCTCTATCTAGATTGTTTTCAGATTCTGAGTTTAAATCATACAAAAAATGTGGAGAGCCAGAAGGGAAGGACATATTGGTTAGGGGTCCCTGTAATAGCTTACATGAGAGTGTTTCAGGACTTGGTCAGCTTTCCTTGATGATCCAGGAGAGGAGTCTGAGATACTAGAGTGACCGACTGTTTCCTCAGGTATCTAAGCAGTGGATCAGAGCCCTGGAGGTTGGTGAGAGTCATGTATTGCCTCTAGACGAAACTGGGCAGGAGACCATGACTGTAACCCTTATAGATGCCAATCACTGCCCTGGTTCTGTCATGTTTCTCTTCGAAGGATACTTTGGAACAATTCTCTACACAGGTGAGCCTCCCCGAGATGGCCCTCTCGCTTTCCAGCTGTGTAATTTCTTTCTTCTTTCTTTTGGTTTTTTGACACAGGGTCTCTGTGTAGTTTGGAGCCTTTCCTGGCACTTGCTTTATAGACCAGGCTGGCCTCGAACATACGGGGATCCACCTCCCACTGCCTCCCAAGTACTGGGATCAAAGGCGTGTGCCACCACTGCCTGGCCCTGCTGTGTTAATTTCTGAAGCTGCCTTCACTCAGAAGAATAGGCCTTGTAGCTTCATGCCAAATAAGCACAGTGACCCTTTTCAACTGATTGCATATCTAAACCTTGTTAAGGATATGCAAATAAGCTGGGTGGTGGTGGTACACACCTTTAGCCCCAGCACTCAGGAGGCAGAGTCAGGCAGATCACTGTGAATTCAAGGCCAGCCTGGTCTACAGAGTTACATCTAGGACAGCCAGAGCTGTTACACAGAGAAATCCTGTCTTGAAAAACAAAACACAAAAAAGAATATGCAAGTAAAAACACAAGAGCAAGCTAGGGGTGGTAGTGGTGGTGGTGGTACATGCCTTTAATCCCAGCACTTGGAAGGCAGAGGCAGGAGAATCTAAACAAACTCAAGGCCAGCTTGGTTTACATAGTGAGCTCTAGGACAGCCAGGCCTATGTAGAGAAAGCCCATCTCTCAGAAAACAGGAAACAAGGGGGCTGGAGAGATGGCTCAGCAGTGAAGAGCACTGGCTAATCTAAAGGACCCTGGTTCAATTCCCAGAACCCAAATGGCAGTTCACAACTATCTGTAACTCCAATCCCAGGGGATCTGGCATCTTTTCTTGTCTTCTTCTATCCTTTGGTCTTTGCCCCCTTGTCCCACCTCCTGTATTGCTCTTCCAGGTGATTTTCGATATACACCATCCATGCTGAAGGAGCCTGCCCTGATACTGGGGAAACAGATTCATACTTTATACCTTGACAACACCAATTGCAATCCAGCCTTGGTTCTTCCATCCCGACAAGAAGCTACTCAGCAGATTGTCCAGCTCATTCGACAGTTCCCACAACACAACATAAAGATTGGTAAGTGGTTCCCTTTTTCTCTCACTCATGCTTAGTGAATGCAGACTTTTTGAAGGTTCTCATTGTTTTCAAGTCTTTGTTCAGGTCTCACCTTCCTTGTAAAACCTATTATGATAATCTTATTTGAAATTGAACCTCCTAGCTGGCTAGGTGGCCCAGACCTTTAATCCTAGCACTCAGGAGGGAGAAGCAGCCTAATCTACATAGTGAGTTCCAGTGAGGAAAAAACAAACAAACAAACAAAAAAAACTGCCCACTATCATCCTCAACCCTTGTTAGGCAAATACTGTGCTATTGAATCCTCTTCTTTAAAATGTTTTTATTTTTAGTGCTATAAGTATGTGCTAGCACAACCAGTTTTTATGGTGCTGGGTCTGAACTGAGGGGTTTTGTACATGTTAGGCATGCACTCTGTTAGCTGAGCTACATCCTTCACCCCAGACTTACTCACTTTTTATAGTATTCATCACTTCCCAGTATATTCTGTACAATTTAAATATGCTATTGCTTATATTCCCAATATTGTGCACACATACTAATGTGAACTATAACTCCTTAAGAAACCCTTAAGAGGGTTTGGAGGATAAGAGCACTGGCTCCTCTTCCAGAGACCCTGGGTTCAATTCCCAGCACCCACATGGTGGCTCGCACCCACATGGTGGCTCACAACCATCTGTAATGAGATCTGGTGCCCTCTTCTGGCCTGCAGGCATACATGCAGACAAAACACTGTATACATAATAAATAAATAAATCTTAAAAAAAGAAAGAAAGAAAGGAAGGAAGGAAGGAAGGAAGGAAGGAAGGAAGGAAGGAAGAAAAAGAAACCCTTAAAATAGCCAGGTGGAGGCCAGGTAGTGGTGGTGGCACACGCCTTTAATCCCAGTACTCAGGAGGTAGAGGTGGATCGCCGTGAGTTCAATGTCAGCCTGATCTACAGAATGAGTTCCAGGACATCCAGAGCTACACACCGAGAAACCCTGCCAAAAAAAAACCAAACAAACAAGCAAAGATAGCCAGTCGGTGGTATACCTTTAGTCCCAGCACTTGAGAGGCAGAGACAAGGAAATCTCTGAGTTTGAGGCCAGCTGCTCTGCAGACTGAGGTCCAGGACAGCCTGGACTACAGAGAAATCCTGTCTTGGGAAAAAGGAAAGAAGGAAAGAATTGATTAGAAACCCTTAAGAGGGCTGAAGGGACAGCTCAGTGGTTAAGAGCACAGGCTACTCTTTCAGAGGACCCAGGCTCAATTCTCAGCACCCACCTGGCAGCTCACAACTACCTGTAACTCCAGTTCCAGCGGATCCAATGCATCTTCTCACCTCCAAGGGCTCCTACACACATAGGTACACAGACATACACTCAGGCTCACATACAACAGATAAAATAAAATAAATATTTTTTAAAAAGAAAAGAAACCCCCAAAAAGTAAGAGGAAGCTTTGTGTGTCAAGAGAAGCATCAGTCAGTGTGACAAATACCCAGTAGGCAGAGAGGCTGGAAAGGCAGGAGGTGTTGGAGTGGTAGTAAAGCCACTTTGAATTGAGCCTAGTCTCAACAAAGAGCTATTGAATGGTTTCAAGTAGAAGAGGAACAAAATCCCACTTACTTGTCTCATGAAATATATTCCATAGTTTCCATGTTTATTCCTTTTAATAAAAGAATGTAGATTCTGCTGTGACAAGATTCTTTATTTCTTATGGCTACATCCCAAGTGCCTACATAATGAAAAGGAGGTAGTCAATAAATATTTGCTAAGTGAGTTAATAAGGTTGCTGTGCTTTAAATAGGCGCATTGAAAAAGCAGCTTTTGGCTTGTCCTGGTGACTCCACAGTGTTACACAATATTTTGGGGATTCTTGAAGTTGCTTTTTGAGGGATAGTTTATGAAAATCAACTTTTCTTTAAAAAACAAACAAACAAACAAAAAATCCAGCTTTTGTTCTAAATAGCTTCTTTGGTTACTCCAAAAATTATAGGTCCCCAAAGAGGAAAGCGAAATCTTAAAGCATACGTCCCAACTCTGAAAGGAGTTTCAAAAATGGCCTTAAGTAAAAATAATAAAAAAAATTATATACCTTCCAGGGTAACTAACAAACTGATTGAGAAATATTCCTAACCCTCAGGATTACTTAACTATTCATGACGAAACACTATCTAACCATTCTTGAAGTATGACATGCAGAATTTTCTCAGAGAAGCACAGCTGGTTAGGAGAGTGCCTGTGGTAGGGCTTGATTAACTTTGCAAACATGTAATAAGTCCTGTAATGTGCCACATATCCTATAGGCAGGGTAATAAATCTGAATAGAATATGGTGTCTGACTTTAAGGACTTCCTGTCTACTAAGGAAGTACCCAAAGACGGAAAAGGATGTGTAGAGAGCAGAAAACCTTTTGCCCAAAAGGAGAAATTTGAATCATAATCAAGGGGAGTAGATATAAAACAAATATTGTTTTTAAGTTCATAGTTCATAGTGAGCCAGTAAAGTCTGAGAACAATGGTTAATAGCATCTCCCGTATCTGTTACCACAGCCATTGCTAACATTCATGTCTGCATTTCTTCTGTGTATACCTTTTAGCTTTCCAGATGGAACTTCTACTTCCAACTTCTCATCCAGACATTTAACAGTCCTGTGATATTATTTTTTATCAAATCATGTTTTGATCACAGTATTCTGATGATTAAAATTCATCATTTTCCTACCTCACACTGTTCAGCAGCCCCCACTTCATCTACAGCATTAAGTTCTAACTCCTTTTCAGTACTTGTGTGGCCCACTAATAAATGACCTTGGCTTGTCTTTCTAGTATCATATGTCACTAATCACCTTTACTTTAGTAATACTGAGGTGGGTCCTCTGAAAATGTTTTCTACCATATACCTTTTCCTTGCTAGTTAACCCTGATCCATCCTTTAAGATATAGCTCTGTTTCCTTTCAGCCAGAATGGTCATCTTCCATTAATTTGCCAAAACCACAAGCACAAAGGGAAAGAGGAAATATGTTCCTGATGTTTAGTCTCTAAGCCTTTTGGAAAACATGGAGTTATTCCCTTGGCTATATATATATGAATGTTCATGCAGGGGGATATTATCGACATCAAGGGACTGGGTTCTATTAAAAAAGTAATATCCTTTAAGTGTTCCAATGGCAAAACTGAAGAGTCTCTATTGTTACCCAACATGCTATTGGCATTGTTGTAAACAAGCAAGTTAAAGATAAGATTCTTATCAAGAGAACTGATACACATTGAGCATATGAAATGCTCTATGGAGTAAGAGGACCCAGGTGAAGGAAAATGATTAGAAAAATAAAGTTCAAGGAGGAAGGGACCTGGGTTCAACTGAAGTGCCCACCTGTGCTGCCTAGCTGATCTATAAATTCATGGCTTAATAGATATAGATAAATAAATAAGTTGTCTCTAGATTGTACAAGTGAGGTTTTTATTGTTTCTTAAATGGAATGCTTCATGAATTTATGTGTCATCCTATGCAAAACCCATGCAAATCTTCTCTGCATTGTTCCAGTGTTACTATATGTGCTGCCAAAGTGAGCACAATTGAGTTTTTTTTTTAATTAAATGGAAGTGTGTTATTCTCTTCCCCAAAGAAATATTTAAATTTTCCATCACCTACCAAAAACATGGACTTGGCTCAGCTGTCATCTGTCATTTTATAGCTTTTCCTAATTTCATCAGCTGGCAGTTCCTCCTGTGCCTTTGTAACACTGTATACTGTGTGTGACATTACCTATCATTACATTGTTTCTGAGTCTGTAGGTGGATGGTACTCCTGGAGAGCTTATGCCTTTTTAATCTGTCTGTTTCCACAGGCCTGACACTTGGTAGATACTTTCTCTTGTTGAACTGAAAGAATAACTGGATTTTGTGTACTCCATACCTGCATCTGCAATATATCTTAAATGCATTTCCTTCTTGATACACTTCCTAGATTACCAAATATATTTTATATATTTTCACTGAACATTTGTGTAGTGATATGATTTATTAAAGCTTGCCTGAAGATTCAGAGAGCAAAGTCAGCTACAAGCCATAGCAGCCAAGCACAGACCTTTAATTCCAGCAGCCAGAAACTACAAAGTGGTGGTACACACCTTTAATTCTAGGACTCAGAATTAAGAGGTAGAAGGATCTCTGAGTCCAAAGCCACCCAGATCTACACAAGATTAATCCAGCCCTAAAGAGGAACAGCTCACACAAAGATGATCTCAGTACCTGTGATCATTTGACTTTAACCCCAGAATTAGGGAGATATATAAGACAGGAGCAAGGTCTCATTCTCCAGCCACACTGAAGATAGGAGCATTCATTCTGGCCATGGAGGCAGCATGATCAGCCCATTCAGCCTGAGGTAGTGGCAAGAGCTAGTGACCCTCTACTTTGCTTCTCTGTTCTTTAGCTTGAAGTTTGAACCCAAGTATCAGTCACTGGGCCTTTTATTTATCATGCTACACTTCTGGTTGATTAGGAGTCTTTAATACCTTCATGTGGTGATATATTATTTATGATTTATTAAAACTTGCCTGAAGATCAGAGAAGCAAAGCAAGAAAACTAGTAGATCTTACCTCTACCCAGCTGAAATGACAGTCCTGTCTCCACAAATCCTCAAGAGGCTCTCAGTTCCTGTATTCCTCCTGACTTTTATTCCTTTTTCTGCCCAGCCATATCCCTCCTGTCTTCACCTCCCTAGTGCTGAGATTAAAGGTGTGTGATCCCAGGTGCTGAGATCACCTTTGCGTGAGCTGTTTTCTTTTAGGACTGGATCAATTTTGTGTGGTCACTGTGACCTTTAACAGAGATTGGCTACCTCTTCATTCTGAGTTCTGGGATTGAAGGTGTGTGCCACCACTGCTTGGCAACCTAGTATGGCTGCTGGGATTAAAGGTGTGTATCACCACTGCCTGACCTCTGTAGCTTGTGGCTGCCTTTGCTTTCTGAATCCTCAGGCAAGCTTTTTTTTTTTTTTTTTTTTTTTTGGTTTTTCGAGACAGGGTTTCTCTGTGTAGCTTGGGAGCCTATCCTGGCACTCGCTCTGGAGACTAGGCTGGCCTCGGACTCACGGAGATCCGCCTGCCTCTGCCTCCCGAGTGCTGGGATTAAAGGCATGCGCCACCAATGCCCGGCAGGCAAGCTTTAATAAGTCATAAATAATATATTACCACAGTTCCCCTCAGCTGGGTAAAGGTAAGATCTACTGGCTTGGCTGTTTTGCTTCTCTGATCTTCAGGCAAGCTTTATTAATCATAAATAGTATATTACCACATCTTCATTATCTTTTTTTCTTATTTCTCCCAACCCCTTGAATATAATTTAGGACTCTATAGCCTAGGAAAAGAATCACTGCTGGAGCAACTAGCCCTTGAGTTTCGGACCTGGGTGGTATTAAGTCCTCAACGCCTGGAGTTGGTACAGCTGCTGGGGCTCGCAGATGTGTTCACAGTTGAGGAAAAAGTTGGGCGCATCCATGCTGTAGACCACATGGAGATCTGCCATTCTGCCATGCTTCAGTGGAACCAGACTCACCCTACCATTGCTATTCTTCCCACAAGCCGAAAAGTACGAAGCCCTCACCCAGGCATCCACACCATCCCTTACTCCGACCATTCATCTTACTCTGAGCTTCGGGCTTTTGTTGCAGCTCTGAAGCCTTGCCGGGTGGTGCCCATTGTTCGCCAACAGCCTTGTGGAGAGTTCTTTGAGGGCAGCTCGAGTCCCAGGCTCCCTATACTGATGATTCCACACTCTGTGCAGCAATACATGTGTTCCTCCGCTAGGAAAGCAAATGTGCTTTGGCAGTTAGAAAGGAGACTAAAGAGGCCAAGAATCCAGGGAGTTGTGTTTGAATCCCCTGAGGAAAAAGCTGACCAGACTAAAGTTGACCGAGTCGCAAAGAAGCGCATGAAAGAAAACCTCTCACTCTGGCCTGGGGACCTTGAGAAGCTCTGTCCTCATCCTCTTCCGGCCAGGAAGCAGTTGTTCCCAGACTTCTGCAGAGAAGAATGTGATGAGCCAGTCCTTTTTTGTAACTCCAAAAAGATGGCGACTGTGTTGACTGCCCCAGTGGAATTTTCAATGCAATTACAGCCTGTAGATGTGTTTATCTCTCCAGAAACCAGGCAGGAAATTGGTGTAGGGTCCCGATTGATACCTAGGAGAGGCTCACCAGCTAGAGGGAACCAAAGTGACTGGATAGGCTGTGATTCTCCCCTGTCTCACATTAGCAAAGACACTCATCTAGCTACTGAGTCCGGGGACCTGGCGCTAAAATACCTTCTTACTCCAGTGAATTTCTTCCAAGCAGGGTTCTCTTCCAGGAACTTTGACCAGCAAGTGGAAAAATACCAGCAGAGTACAGTATAACAATCCTGTTGGATCAGCATTGCAGTTTTGAAAACAGTAGATGATGGCTAGTGGCAAAAGTTTGTTTGCTGTCTTCCTTTACAGAATTCTGTGGCTCACCCTGGAGTAGCTCTAATGAAGTTTGTTTGTGGAGTCCTGGTGCCTATGAAACCCTTAGCTTTATATCTGATTATTTATGTTAGTTTTATTATATTTAGCAAACAGTTTTCATTATAAACTATTTAGTGTTTATAAGAACATTAAAAGTTCATAGAAGACCCATAGCAACCTAATCTGTTCAACTTGGTTTAACCCAGTTTTTCTTAAACTTTTATCAACATGCAGTTCTTTTTTGTTTTGTTTTTGTTTTTTGGTGGAAAAAGTAGAATCTGAATCAAAAAAGAACCAACTTTGTCCCATGTGTCTCATTCCTCGAGTCTCCTTCATTCTCTTCTTAGATAAAAAGTCCTTAGGTTGTTTATTTTCAAGTTATAAATAGTGGTTCTGGAGGATAAGTGGTAGCCTGGGTAGCATGTTCTAATCATGAATGTCTCTGACTTGCTGTGACTCTATCCAGGTAGCTTCCTGTCTCTTCCTCAGGGAAGGAACAGGAAACAATGAAGAGGCCTTGAAACTGTTGAGAAAATAACACCTTCCTCCTTCACAATGGGGGTTAGTAACTGTCATGAGAAATCCATCTGGAACAGAGTCATTTGGGAGCTAGGGACCTTGCACCAATAAGCTGAACATTAAGGCCTAGAATATGTCTGAGCTACTGGATGCTTGGAAACACTTCTTTGTAAAAATAAAGCTATAAAAGATAAATGTGCTGCCAGATAGTCCTCTGATTGTTCACATAGCTGGGATTTTTTTTTTTTTTTCTCACCCCTACCAATTTGAATTAGGAAGCCAGAGTGCAGAGCTTGTTTGTTTTAGTATCCAGGGGAGAGACCAAGGAGCCAGCTGGTTGGAACGGGTCAGAGTGTGCAGTTTACCCTGTTCTGCTCATAACCTAACAAAATGCCAAACCAACAAGCAAGCCAGATGATAGCACAGCCCTGAGGAAATGTGCTCTGGGAGGGCACAGTCGAGGAGCTCAGCTTATGGATCAAAGCAGCTTCAGTGTGGAGCCTTGAGCCTTAACAATGAAGATGTCTCATCCCTAGGGAGGAGGGAGCGGTTTTGCTACTTTGGAAAGAGGTGAAGTTTAGAGAGCAAAGTAAGGCTTTGCTCTTGGACATACTGTACTCAGTGCTGTTTTTGTCAGTACCTTCCTATAAACCTCCAAGGGCCTCCCTCATAGGAGCTGCAGCAGGTGAGGCATGCGGTACAAACGGCAGGAAACCTGGACATTGTCTGGGCTGGAATCCAGGGCACCTGGCAAATTGTTTAAACAGAGGAGCCTTACTCAGCTGTAAAGTGGTGGCTGAGACGCCTATCTCCCATGTTTGCTAAGCAGATTAAATAATATTGGTGAAATTCCCTAGCTCAATGTCCAGTGCATGACAGTATTTGAAATACTGGTTTTTGTAGCTAAAGGTATAGTGCTGGTAGGATGTGTTTTTCCATCCCGAGTGCCACTAAAATATAGTAATAATAATGATTCAACAAAGACATGATTCTCAGCCAGGTGTTGGTGGCTCTCGTCTTTAATTCCAGCACTTGAGAGGCAGAGGCAGGTGGATCTTTGTGAGTTCGAGGCCAGCCTAGTCTACAGAGCGTGTTTCGGGACAGGCTCCAAAGCTACTCTTAGCCTTTGGTCTTCAAAAACAATTCTCTATAAAAATACAAAGAAAGCTGGGTGGTGGTGGCACACACCTTTAATCACAGTAGAGGCAGGTGAGTCTCTCAATCCACACCCCAAAAGAAAGAAATACAAAGTAGAATAAAATGTCTTTCATGTAGACTGATGGGCCTTTTTCCAGTGCTTCTGGGGATCTAAATATTAAATCTACACATTTTCAGAATTAGGACAATTCACACACACACATGTGTGCATGCACATAACACAATGATAATTTTTCTTTTTTAATGTAAAGGGTACTGGAGAAATCGCTTGGTGGTTGAGAGCTCTTACTGTGTTCTTGAGGACCTGGGTTCAGGTCCCAGCACTCACAGCAGGTGGATCATAACCACCTGTAACTCAGGTTCCAGGGGGTCTGATGCTCTCTGATCTCCATAAACAACTGCACATGAAC